CTCACGACTCACGACTCTTGACTAGCTCGACTCACTTGACTCACTCACTGATGTGACTCAAACTGTGACTCGAAGTTCACGACTCAAGCCAAAAGGTGGCGGAAGCAAAGTCACGTGAAAAGTTAGTGTCCGCGCAGAAGGGCAGGCGTGGGATCGCCGCCGCCGCCCATACACCTGCTGTGTACCGTATACCGGGAATCACGAATGGGATCGGCGCACAACGTGGATCATCATGAACGTGTCGGGTCAGACGAGATGCTGTGCGTGTTGTCCACCGAATCGGGAATGTGCAAGAGTTGAGCAGCAGTCGGTGAGTTTGGCCTCTCAGCTACTCTTCGTGGTGTTCAGTCACCTCTTAAGACCGCTCACCGGCGCTCACGTGCTTTCCAACCCCGCTCGTCAATCAGAGTCCAGAGTCCAGAGCTCAGTGAAAGTTTATGTTGGGATTCGGTGCACAAGGGCTACGACTGGTCACGCACAAGCAGACTTCCTCCAAACAGACTCCTTCGGTCCCACCTTTGAGGATCCACAGCATAAGCGCCTTTCTCAAGGACCGTGACGCAAGGGCTGGCGCTGTCTCGCTTCCACTCTCATCTCCAGCGACGCCTGGGCGATAGGCAGCACAACGCAAGCGCATTCACTCACATCGCAGCAGCAGCAACAGCAACAGCAGCAGCAGCAGCAGCAGCAGCATCCGTCACGATGGCGTCCACATTCTATCACTGGATCAAGTCACCAGCTGGTCGGGAATACTTCCTTGTAAGTGCATCAATTAGACCCGATCATCGACATCGACACGCATCGATTGCTCGCGCATCGCTGTTGCTATTGCTACTGCTACTGCTATCGCATCCAGATCTGACATTCTCGCCAATCGCCTCTCGCAGTCCACGCACTTTTGGGGTCCAGTCGCCAACTGGGGCTTGCCTATCGCAGCTCTATTGGACCTCAAAAAGGACGAGGAGGTCATTTCGGGAACCATGACGGGCGCGCTGGCCTGCTACTCGTGAGCCTCCCTTCGTGTCACAGTCGAGGTGGAGGACTACTTTAGAAGCCGCAGATGTCGCATCAATGCAACATACCTTTGCTCACCCTCACCCGGTCTGCCTTTCATCGCTACTTCTTCTCGTGCAGTCTGGTTTTTATGCGATTTGCTTGGCGGGTGCAACCAAGAAATTACCTCCTCTTCGCCTGTCATGGCACAAACGCTGCCGCTCAGATGACTCAAGGTGGGCGGTTTGTCAATGTGAGTTGCCCCATCGGGCACAGCACGATAGTGCAACATGTACCCCAACAATGACGTCTTATCCTCCATGCAGTACTTCTATCTCGGAGGCAAGGAGAAGAAGGCCGAGGGGCAAGTGCCAGGCGTGGCCGCATCGAGCGGCTCCGCTGTCGCTGCAACGACGGAGAAGAAAGTCTAATGCGAAAGCGAGGTCCTCGAAAGATACTGCTGCGATTCTTTGCACCCATCACATTCATGACTAGGCCGCAATGGTAGAAACATGACGAATTGTGAGATGGAATATGCGTCAGCTAGCCTTGGCCCCTTTCGAAGTGAGAGAGTTGGAAATCAACTCGGGATGCCATGCTTTGCATGCAAGGGAAAACGAGGTCCGCTCGAAGCCCACCGTAATTGCTTTTGGTAGGAGAATGTCAGCCACACTGGGCGGGACGATAGCAGTCGCGTGGATGCCGAAGCCCGTGAAAGAGCGACGAGTCGAGCTAGCGCTCGTCGGACTGTTCGCCGAGGAGTCAATGCCAAGTCTGAATGTTCTACAGGAGGGGCTCGGCGCCTGCTTCCGAGCTCATATCCATCTTTTCGAGCGCATTGACGCGATCTAAAGGCTTGAATTGGCAGAGGTGGGTCTCTACGGTTTCCTTGCGGATACGTCCATCGCGGGCATTGCTACTAATGTTGCCTGACAGCATGATTGATCGATCGCAAGCGCAGAACATCGGCGCGAAGAAGATGAAGACAATATCAAGGTTCGAGTCTGCTAACTCTCGCGTGCAGGCAATGAGCACGTATCCTGGCCGAATGCGAGCCTCCATTCAAGCCTTGCGCCAATGATGTCGTGATTGCTGCTGGCTCGCTCTGAGGGCGACCTCAATCAGAGCGCAGTCACGCCTCTGGCTGCCACCCTGTCTGAGCTAAGAAAATCGCCCACCCGCCTCAGAAGTACCATTGACGAGTCGACACCGATTCGGACTGTACTTCCGACTAAACCTCAACTCAGTGACACGGAATACGCTGCCTTGACCATATCCCCACAGCTCAAGGCAGCTTGTTGCGCCCGGATTTTGTCGCTGACAATTGACACAGGACTGTGTCAGCTCTTGCTTGGCACGCGATGATCTTCAACAGCAGCTTTCTAGAGCGGTCAGACTGCCGTCGGTCCGTATATGGGCTCATAGATCGTTGTACAACATACGCAAGACGCGCCAACGCTTGATCTTGAGAGTGCAAGGGACTGTCCAGTGCAATTAGGGGACTAGCAGCTGTGAAGTGTCAAAGCTGCCGATGATGACACACCGCCCGTCCGGGCGCCCTGAGGGTCCGTCACCTCAACCCAGCAGCATCTTAGCGACAGAGCATCACATTATTGAGGCTGTCGCACTTCGCGTTGGAGGCGGCCTTCACGGGGTCACGTACCTGTGCGTCCGTCCAGTCCGACTCCTCTGTGCCCTGCACGTACCACGTGCAAGTTGGACATGCACATAGACGCAAAGAAGATCTTTTACACTTCGAGACAAGGTCTTGCTGTGTTGGAGTTGCATCTGGACAGAAACCCTTGACTTGGGTGTTCCGATGATCATCAGGCGAGTTTTTTCCGCGTAGGTCTCTTGGTGACCGGTGTCAAGCGGTCATCGACGTCTGCTTTGTGCTGAGTTACATCCTGAATAGAGAACACCTGTCATTTGAGTGACGACCATGTTAGCTTGGACAAGGTTGGAAAGCGCAATCTTTTCCCACGCCATTGACAAAGCAAGCCGGAGGCACCCGAGTTGAGTTAAGCGGAAGCTGGGCAAGTGATGCTGTAGGCGACTGAGGAGAAGGTGATTTGCCGTCTACACGTTGCTTTTGGCGCCTGTACATGGTCTCACCCTCATTCTGGGCCGCAACCACTTGTCTTCAGGTCCTTGCATGCCCTCTTAGAAGATCACTGGCATCATCGGTCTATCTTCAGAAGAGTCGAGGTCGTCAGACCTAAAGAGAGTTCGACTGACCGACGAGCTGGCTTGAGCTTGGGTCTCTTCGTCCACTCGCATCAGTCGCTGAAGTTCATGCCAACACGCCGGAGTCATTCTTTCGACTCTTCGATTTCATCCTTTACCTAAACATCGGCACTTTGATCATTACACCAGAAGGATCAGCGAGGTCGTCTTACTCGAAGAAGACAGCGCATGTTCATTTATTGAGGGCGGACCATCCCACCATCGTACAGCGCTGGAGAATATTGCCAAGACATCCGGAGGGCATCATACCACAATGCCGACGAAGTTGTCAAAGGCCATCAGTAGGGAGGGCGGCTCACCTGCTGGTAGAAGGCTGCTTGTACAAAGCTGCGGACATGATCTTGCTTGCTTCCCAACCCGCCGCGCTTACAGGGTATCTGCTGGTTGATGAATTGATGTGATGTCAGCTTAATTGCTTGTCGTGGCCGAGTGTTTGTGCCTCGCCCTGACGCGCTTGAGCACGCCAACATAAAGGACTGGGGTCATGAGTGACATCTCTAAGTCGCGCGTTAAAAGAGATGTCGCGTGTTTCTCAATCCTTCGAGGTAGACTGCGTGTGAACAAACCCATCAGCAAGAATGATGTATGGTCCTAAATTAATGTCGAAGCGCGTGATAACAGGAGTGACGCTGTTTGCTGGTGGCTGCTCCATTCTCCCTCCCTGATTAGCTTGAATGCCTCATATTCCGGTCGCACTCGGACCAGATCGGCGAGTGACGAAAGTCAGACAACCGCACTCTTTGGGTTGAGTTCCTTTAGACGCGACTGTTCCGGACTTCCCAACCTATGTGCACACAGCTGAGAGCAGACATAGGGACAATTCCTCCTCTTCTGAGTCATTGAGGGAGGGACCTTGAAGAAAGAGGGGTTCTTCTCCCCAGGGCACCCTACTTGCCAGACTGGGGCTGGAGGTGGCAAGACGGCGCTTGGACTGGGCATATTTCCTTTCCTTGTTGCTGGGCTCTTCCCTTGCCCTTCCTTGTTGTCCCCTTTCCATGGTGATGATACTGGCCGCCTGGCTCAGAATCCTCCTGACCACTGCTTGCTTCAGACTTGGTCTTGCCAGAGTTGCGCATGTAGCTTTGGCCATCCGGGATGGGGTTGGAACTGGGCACCCAAGTCCCGGACACTTGCATGGTCGGTGCTGGGGTCAGTCCGCGCACACGTTGCATCTCTGGTGCGTGGTTGCAGGAACCGGTGTTCGTGGTGTTTATGCTGGGTGTGGAGTCGTGCTGGCAAAACTTGGGGTCTTTGTCCGAGCTCGTTGGCTGGTACATTGTGACAGTGGAGCGGGTGGGCGAGCGTGGTGAGGTGGAGAGTACGGGAGGTGCTTGTGGGAGGAGCGCAGAGCGGGAGGTGCTTGTAGCGAGTGGTGCTCGCAGCGAGTGGTATTTGCAGCGAGTGGTGCTTGTAGCGGCTGGTGCCTGTAGCGGCTGGAACGCTTTTTGCAACGGCTTGTAGCAAGGCGGATTGCAATGTGATCGACGTGAAAAAAAGAGCAAAGAGCATTCAATGGTCAACGACTGACGGTAGCATAGAGCGCGTGCCGAGGAGCGTGCAGAAGAGCCTATACTCATTTGTGATGGGCGTGAGTTGACGCGGTGCTATACGCGAGGATCGTTTCGAGCAGCGACACGGCTCGTCTGCAATGATTCGCATAGATCCTCAATTCACACTTGCGCCAAATTGTGTCGTCTGAAAAGCAGGAGTGCTGTATTGAGTCGCGCCAGACTTTCAAGCTCTCGTGTCTCGAGAAAAGGATATGCCCGCTGAGCACGGGCTCGCCAGCACGCACACCGCGCGCGGTCTTACGCGATCTGTCACGAAGTAATGAGTGCGTACGGTATCGCTGCAGCAAGCCGTAGATCAGTGTGAAGACTCGAGGCATGCCTTGTTTGCTTCGACGCTGCGCTCCCTCCTCCAAAAAGTTGCCATCCGTCTCACCGTTTTCTTGCCATGTCGAACGTCATACAGAGCTCGTGTCACATTGCAGTGTCTTTTGGAAAGTTTTTCAATGTTTTGCGCGGCAGTGAGTGGTGCGCAATAGAAACATGAGCTAAACTGGCAAGGTGGACGACACCAGCTTGTCACTCAATTGTCGACTGAGCTGAGCGATTGGCCGAGCGAGAAATAAGTCAGCTGCAACGTGCGGCAAGACGTAGGGGAAGCATTGTCATGATGCTTGAAAGGGGGGGAAAGATTTGCGAGCTTCGATGGGAGACACGCAAGTGGGTTTGGCCTTGAGTCACGCGTTCCAAAGATTCTTGATCTGAGCTCGTTGTGGAGCTAGCAGCATCTGACCAGGCCAAAAACGTGTCGATGCATTTGCTTTTGTCCTCCTTTTCCGTGAAGGGGCCTCAAGACCATGGGACTTTAACAGTTTCTTTTTTTTTGCTAGAATTGAGAGTGGATCTTTGACATATTCTGGCAAAATTTGAGGGCTTGCTTCATGGCGTCAGAAATGTTCACAGAAGCACAAAGTCGGCAAGTTGAAACAACGTGAAGCCCAACGACAACAATTTTCTATCCTATGCTCACACGATCTGCATGAACGTCATGGACGTGAAACGCTCAAGAAGATTTTGCTCCAGGGCACGCTGCTCAACAAGTTCATACGGCACATAGCCCATATACATGGCGGCTTTGACAATGTGTTTGTCATTTCCTTCAGCAAATTACTCAAATAGTACTCGCTGCCACGTTGTTCAGATTGATTCCTCTGCAAAGCTTCGCACGGAGGGCTCATCGATGGTCGTCTGTGGAATTGCCTGGCGGTAGTCTGTGAAGATAGGTTTGCAGCTACCGCGTTCAGAGGAGTACCAAGCATAACTGACCGCCTCGGCCCTCTCATGTCAAGTCCAGCACGCTTCCTTCTATCTTACCACTCAGCACAGACCACGACTGCGGCCGAGGAGCTTGAGAGATCTCAATACCTGAGTCACACCAAAATAAGCAGAGGTGGTTCATTGTCGAAGGTCGTATGCACCCACGCTAAATAACATAAATTGGAAGAATATTCAGACTCTGCCAAATCTGGCCACAGTGTAACATATTTTGTGCAGTGCGTAAACGCGAAAGGCATGGATGTTTCAACAGACGCAACCAAAAGAGACGGAATCCAATCGCACGCAGGAGGCTTCCTTCTGATTTCTGATTGGAAAATTGAAGTCAACGAGGACCTGGATGTCGGTTTCTCACAATTTATGCCAATTTTTTGTCACAAGAGCTCACCTCATGAATGCGCAGGACAGAAAATGGCTAAGAAATTCCATGGTCAGCTTACAGATCCAGATAAAACGTGTGAATATTCTAATTTGTAAGCCACCAGTCTTCCTGAATCAACTGCGTGAGTGAATGACAAAACCAATTTTGGGTCCTCGACTTCCTTCTCGCGCCAACGATGAACCTTAGTCAACCGGAAGGGACGAAGACAGCCAATGATCCGCTCGGATTCCCGCTGTGTACCCTCGTAGTCCGCAACTGCTTCTCGCCAGATTCGAACCGACGATCTGTAACCACTTGAGAGAAGCGCTGCCACTAGCGCATATGCGCTAACAACTAGACCATAGGAATAGTGATGCAAGGGGGGCATACATGGGTACATATGCACCATTCACAGGGCATTAGAATGGCCTACAGACCAAATCTAAGGCTTCAATCTAAGGGTTACCTGCATAGTTGTCTGCATCCATCTGGCTGTGAAGTCTAAGGAGACTGGGCTGTAGATGTCTCAGCCCTACGCGCTCGCTGTATCTCTCTCTGCTACGTATTTGTTCCGCCGCTACAGAATTTTCAGCGGCATGAGGCTGAATGGAAAATTGATCAAAGCTTCCTCTACTTTGTACACTTACGTATTGTAAAGCCAAACATGCACGAGAATCTTCCCGCAGCGTGTGAGGTTAATCGAGCAGAGCTGAACACCACGTGCTTGCCTGGCTTGAAGAAGTGTCGTGCACCCAGAGCCGAACTACGCTTTGTACTCAGGAGAAGAGTAGACCGTTGCAAAAAGCGCAGCTTTTTTTCACTTCTCTACATAAGTTTTGTTAAACCAGACTCTACTATACCCGTGAGTCACGCGGCTGTGAAGTCTGTCGGCACCATCTGCGAAGAAGTTGTAGCTGAATGAGAGGTCACTTAAAATCCCAAAGGTACACTGTGATAGGTGCCTAAACAGTAAAGCTGACGTTCGTGTGAGTTGTAAGCTGTCAAAGAATAATGACACGAGATGATGCATCTTTCAAAATCGGACGGGCGATTTGCAACGCGGAGGCAGATTCCTGCGTTAAGCACATTTCGAATGCATTTAATTCTGAAGACGGAGAAGACCACTGCGGGTGGCAGCCAAGGAAGTCTGACTCGAGGTCGTGTACTCGATTTAAGGCATCGATGTCAGGCTCCTTCGATCGATCAAGTACTTGCCAGTGGGTCCAACGGATTCCCATGCGTTTGTGGGATTACCATGCATTTTTGCAAAAAAACACGCAGCAAAAGAGCAAACTTTGCTCACTTAGCAGACGGCCAATCCGTGAACTGAAAAGCGAAACCAGACAGAAACTTCTACTACGCTGCAGAAAGCTGATCTGCCCCCAATCCTGAGTGTAAATTTCAGATCTGATGTTATTTGCAAGAGGGAAGAAGCGCAGAGGTATTGCGTGATCAAACTGCACAGTGCCTGAGACCACTGGCTGACATCATTTGAGGTTGAAGTACTCCAACTCTGTGAAAGCAAGTATAGTCTTGCCAATCTAAGGGATGCCGTTAGGTCGGATACTCCTGTCAAGAATGCAAGGCTTTCTCGTGGAACGAAACCCTTACCGCCATAGCTTACCTTCTATCTTCTGCTGATCTTTGCTTCGGTCCTTGGCTCACACAGGCTTGCTATCAGCTGGGATTTTGTGATGCAAAATAGCATCATCGCGAAAGCTGGCGAGATCTAGAACATCCAAGCAATGTCCGAACAATAGCCGAGAGAGGCGCAGAGCATGACTAGTCAATTAGGTGAATGGTTGGTTTCCTTTAGCAGAGCGCTCCAACGTGACGTCAGCTGGCGACTATCCTTGGTCGCATTCGGGGCTTGATATTGGCCCACGCCTTCCGTTACACAAGCACTGTGTATCTTGCGTGCTTCCTGCGTCAGCGCGAACTTGTTGGATGTGTCGGGACATCTGTTCTACCGCTCATGTGATGAGCTTGTCAGCTTCATTCTTGACATGACTAGATCTGCTGATTCGAAAGACGACACCATGCCTCCAGAAGATCCAAAAGATCCAAGCCGAGAAGGGCGTTTGGACTGCAACACTCCAGGAGCAAGATGCAGTCAAAGAAGGCCAGCTGTCAGGGGTGTCTCCAATTGATGCGTGACTGTTCGGCACAAGTCTCAGAGGAGAGCATGCATCTTGCTTCAGCATCGAGGACTGGCG